CTGGAGAAGTGGGCAGTTGCGAACAGGATGCAATTTAACAAAGATTAATGCACAGTATGACATCTGGGCCACCAAAATGTCAAGCACAAATACTGGATGGGGGATGCATTTCTCGGGAGTAGTGTATGCGAAAGAGATCTTGGGGTAAGAGTGGACTGTAATCTAAGTATGAGCAGTCAGTGTGATGCGGTGGCAAAAAAGGCTAATTCAGTCTTGGGTTGTATTAAAAGGGCCATAGCATCGAAATCGTAGGAGGTCATAGCCCCTCTGTATACTGCCTTGGTCAGGCTGCATCTTGAATACTGTGTGCAGTTCTGGAGGCCTCACTTCAAAAAGGATGTGGGCAAAATCAAGAGGGTGCAGAAGGGAGCGAGGAGGATGATCGGGGTCTGGAGACTGAGCCCTACGAGGAAAGGCTGGGGGCCTTGGGAATGTTTAGTTTAGAGAAGAGGAGATTGAGGGAGGGGACATGATTGCTCTCTTTAAATATTTGAAAGGCTGTCATTTGGAGGAGGGCAAGGAGCTGTTCCGGTTGGCAGCAGAGGACAGGACCCGAAGCAACGGGTTTAAATTACATGCAGAAAGGTATCGGCTGGATACTAGGAAAAACGTTTTCACGGCCAGATTGGTTCAAAGGTGGAATCAGCTGCCTAGGGAGGTGGTTGGCTCCCCTTCACTGGCAGCTTTCAAGAAGAGGCTGGATGAATATTTGTCAGAGATGCTTCAGGCTGGTCCTGCATTGGGCAGGGGGTTAGACTAGATGGTCTGTGTGGCCCCCTTCCAACTCTATGATTCTATGAGTGGCGCCCACCGCCCCCTCTCAACATTCCAAATATGCCCTGCAGGTTTTTAAAAGTTGGGGACCCCTGGAATAGTAACTTAGCAAGGCAAGAGATGCACAAGGCGGTGGTGGTGGGGATTGGTTGGGTGGCCACGGCAGGAGGCCTGCGCAGAGATATTAATTATATGTGTACTGATTCCTGTTTTGCTCGGAGGCTCATAGTCCTGGGAGACTCGTGGGATGAGTCAGAATCACAGGTGCGCGGAACTTGAGAGGGTTTCGGCCGCACACCTTTGATTGCTTCTATGCAGAATCTCTAAGAAAGGGGGGTGGGTCTGGTCCAGGGTTGCCAAATTTTCTATGTCTTTGTGCTTAACAAACTTAACAGTTTAGTACGCTCAAATGGTTAAGACGCTGAACTGCAGGCTGTACACGGGCTGTAGAAGGTCAGTAGTTCAGCAGTTCGAGACCCGAGTGCCGCATGACGGAGTGAGCTCCCGTCTCTAGTTCCAGCTCCTGCCAACCTAGCATTTCGAAATCAAGAAATTGCAAGTAGATTAATAGGTACTGCTTTGGTGGGAAGGTGACAGCATTCCGTGCGCCTCGGTGTTTAGTCATGCCGGCCACATGACCACGGAAACGTCTTCGGACAGTGCTGGCTCTTTGGCTTTGAAACGGAGATGAGCACCGCAACCCTAGAGTTGGACTCGACTGGCTTTCGAGCAAGGGAAACCTTTACCTTTACAGTGTAAGGGAGTGCCTCAAAACGGGCTCTGGAAAAGGCCCATCTATAGGGTTCATAGGTAATGTTAACAAAATAAGGGGCAACAGTAAAATTAGGCCAAGATTTTATATTTCTGAAGTTCTTGGGTAGCAAAGCTTCTTCATTTTGTGATTCAATATTGCGACAGCTGTTCTTGCCTTGTACAGGCTTCCATAGAAGAGATCTTCTGGGAACAGGCCCAATCTGATTTAACTTATGAAGAATTTGTGTGGACCAGGCAGGGTTAGGGTCCAAGACTAGGAAACCACCTCTGCTTAATCACCTGCCTTGAAAACCCTGCGGTGTCGCCGTAAGTCAGCTGAAACCGACAGCACTTTACATTCACGCACCCTTTTTCTCCAGTGGTACCCAAGCCAGGGCTGTTGTGATGTCATTTGGCAGGGAAGCTGACTGGCGGGTCCAACTAGTTCTGGATGAAGTTTCCCATGAAGATCGAGCTACTTCTGTTTTTCCCCCCCCCCCTTCTTTCCGTGTACTTGGAATCCACAGGAGACGTTGCCCTGGGCAACCTCCTCCTTTGCTTTTCAGAGATGCCCACTCAGGTTTCCTTCCTGGCTGACTCAGCATAGTCAGGCAGAGAATGTTTTAATGATTGTTTGCAGATAAGCGGGTTGTCAGCCAACCCGAAGAAACCAGCCTGGTCTACTCATGGGCTTTTATTGGCAGCTGAATCAGCAGACGTCAGCTTTTTGTCGCCCCAGTGTAAGGCGTGGGAGAGTGGGGCACTGAAAAGCTGGCTACAGAATGGGTTGACAGTGTGGTGAATGCTGGGAGGGAAAAGCCAAGCCTGCTTAGCTTTCAGGACTCGATGACACTGGGCCAACCTGGGCCACCCAGGTCAGGGCTGTATACATTTGGCTTGTAAACAGTTTTTCTCAGGATCAGGGGCCATTTCCCGCGGGAGCGCACAGGAGCGGAGCTCCGGCAGTAAGGAGCTCAGGGGTCGGGCACATGCAACAAGCCCCGCCCCCTGCTCCCAGCGGCCCTCAGTCAGGCCATGAGGAGCAAGAAACACCCAGGTAAGTTGCAGAGCCCCGCCCCTGGCCCGCCTTCAGGTACAAGCTCTCCCTCCTCTGTGAGGGCAGATCTGCACATTTCCCCCTCCCCATAGCTAGCAATCTAAAACAGTCCAGTGGCACCTTCAAGACCTTTTATTCAGGTACCAGCCCCCCCCCCTCTGTGAGGACAGATCTGCACGTCCCCCCCCCCAATAGCTAGCAATCCAAAATAGTCCAGTGGAGCCTGAGCGGTGGTGTCAGGGTGTGTGGCATATGCACATGAGTTACGCTAATGAGTTATGCTAATGAGCTCCTGCACCTCTTTTTCTACAAAATGACCCCTGCTCAGGATCACCTGTGGTGAGGTAAAAATCTCCCAAAAAGCAGGAAAAGATTTCCCCCCCACATTTTTTTCATGGGGGGGGGGGCAAGTTATGCCGGAATGCGTCAGGTAATCATGCCCTCATCAAAGAGAGATGTAATGTTTGCGGTTCTTCTTTTAAAACAATAAGTAAATTAATAATAAGGAACCAGAGGAATTATTAAGCGTCTTTGCAGAGTTGCCAGCTCTGGGTTAGGAAGTTCCTGGAGATTTGGGGGTAAAGCCTGGGGAAGGTGGAGTTTTGGGAGTGGCGTATGACTGGGGTTGCTAAGTGACTTACAGTTAAAAGCAGGGGGCCATTGGTCCCTGCCCGGGACATTCGCGCACATGTGATGCGGAGAACTCTGTAAGACCCCTCTTCCTCAGAAGTTGGCAATCCTTTCTACCCTGTCCTACAGCTGGGCCAGTGGGAACCTCTGGAATTCTGACACAGCATGGTGGATGCGGTCCCAAAATGGCTGCCACACGAGGCAGAGCCAGTCACAAAATGGCTGCCGCAGCTCACCTTCAGTCGCACAGTGAATATCCTTGTGTTGTGGTGGCAGCTGCTGCCAAAGCTACGTTTTTTAAAATGTGCGCAGCCAGTCTAATCTCCAGTGGGCAACCAGAAGCGCTACTGGGCAAAAGCCCCATCTGGGCTTTCTTAAAACCCTTGGTAGGTGCCAGGAAAGGGCACCTTCAGAGTTGACAAAGAGAAATTTCCCCCCCTTTCCCAAAATACTTGAACTTGAGGGTATCAAATGAGGCTGATGGGCAGTAGATTCAGGACGGACAAAAGGAAACACTTCTTTACACAGAGAGTGATTCAAATGTGGAATTCGCTGCCAGAGGATGTGGTGATGGCCACAGGAATACACAGCTTTTAAAGGGGATTAGACAGATTTATGGAGAAGAAGTCTATCGATGGCTACTAGCCATGGCGACTGAGGGGAACCTCCTCACTCAGAGGCACTAAACCTTCGAATCCCAGAGCCAGGAGGCAACATCAGGGGAAGGTCATGGCCACCATGCCCTGATGTTGGCCCTCCAGAGGAACTGGTTGGTCACCATGTGAGACAGGATGCTGGACTAGATGGACCACTGGGCTGATCCTAGGCTTGCCAAGTCCCCCTTGGGGGGCGGGGAACACCCTGCCCCAGAGGCCCATTCCCCGCCGCCGCTGGATCGGGCCCCGGGGGGAACTCCGCCCCGATGTGCACATCACCAGGAAGTGTCGGGACGACGCCAGGCACGCTGGGGGCGGGGCCACGGTCATCCGAGGCAAAACTATGGTTTTCCCTCGGATGGTCTTGGCCCCGCCCCCAGCGTGCCCAGCGTCATCACGTCACTTCCTGGTGACGTGGATGCGGCGCGCTCAATGATCAGCCCGGGAGTCCCCCGCTGCGGAGGAAGGTAACACTTGGCAACCCTACTGATCCAGCAGGGCTCTTCCTATGTTGTGATACAGGATGGTGGGCACAACCACAAAATGGTGGCCACAGGAAGCAGAGCCATCCAAACCTAAAGGAAGCAAGGGATGAGAAGTAATTAAAAAACAACTGGGAAATAAGAGTGGGAGGGAATACAACTGACAGTGTGGTGGCAGCTGTCAAAGAAAGAACGTGATTTTAATCTGCACTGCCAATCATCTCCACTGGCCAATCAGAAACCCTGCTGGGTAGGAGTCCTACCTAGCCCTAGCCGCTTTCTAAAAACTCTTGGCAGGTACCAGGAAAGGAGCTGGAGGGCCCATGGGCACCATGTTGGCGACCCCTGATCTAAGCTAAAGCGTGCTTTAAGCGATAATTCATTCTGCTAGCAGTGGGGTAGGGGTCCCATTGCTGGAAGAAGGAATCAGGCTATGTCTTCACGATGGCTTTTGCATGTTCACTGCCTGTGCGTCCCAGAATATCTTTGCTTCTTTGTGGACTAGAAACCTGCTTTGAAATAAAACGGCACCAAACCCATGATTCTCCAGGAGGCTGAATTCAGTGGAATTGTGGAAGCAGCAGGGAGTCCTAAACTAACAAATTTTACTTGTGCCTGAAGGGGAACCAGCCAGCCGGCGACAGAACATGACCCTGAAGAGAGCTTGGCCTGCTTTACAAGATGGGGTTCGGCATCCAGCTGGCGTTGTTGATGTGGAAGAACTTCACGTATCGGCGCAGGCAGACGGTGCGTTGTTCTGGGGGACTCCAGTGCTGTTTCCCTAACCTGAAATGGCTCCTCAGGGCTGCTGTTTGCCCGGTTGAAATCTGGGGCTGTTTCAGGTTAGCAAAATTGTGCGAGGAGGGGAATACCAACCCTCCACATGCATCGGGGTCCTAGTCCAAATTGGGCCCTTGTGCACCTGAAGATTGAAGTACGAAAAAGTTGTTGAGAGCTCTGAGTGCAAAAGCTCCCAGAATGCATCTGGGGAGCCCCTGAGAGAGGGAAGGTAAGGGAGGGAGTGGGCTGGATTTAACAATCCTGCAAGGAGGCCCAAATCCCTGAATGGAAAACCACATGCCTGGTTGAACCTGTGGAGCTGCCTTTTTTTAATTTTATTTTACCTCATGTATGACCCACCTTTCTCCCCAAAGTGGCTTACATTGTTTCCCTATACTCCATTCCCTATACTATATTCCCTATACTATATTCACAACATCCCTATGCGGTAGGCTATGTCAAGACCGTGTGACTGACCCAAGGTCACCCAACGAACTTTCATAGCAGACTGGGGATTCAAACCTGGGTCTTCCCCGATCCTAGCCCAGCACTCTAGCCACGGATCCATGCTGGCTTTATGCTGAGTCAGATCAGCAGACCATTCTGCTCTGTGTCCCCTGGAGTTGTAGGGGCTCTCTTGGGGAGAGAGAAGAAAATCCCCTAACACCGGAGATGGGAGGCCTGCATGGCCCTTCCCCTTAGAATCACAGAATGTTAGAGTTGGAAGGGACCTTGCAGGTCATCTAGTCCAACCCCCTGCACTCTGCAGGAGCATAGCCGAAAGATAGCCCTACAACATACCCAAAAGGTGGTCGTCCCTTCATCTTCATGACCCTGCCTCTTCATTTGCATACCCCCGCCCAGGTCCTTTCCTTGGTCACACCAGAGAGTGACGTGCTTTTGCTTCTGCCTGCCCATAGAGTCCCTTCACCTGCTGCCTCTTTTCTCCCCAGGTCCAGCTAATTGTGGAAGTCCTGTGGCCCCTCTTCTTATTCTTCATCCTCATCTCGGTGCGGCGCTCTCACCCCCCTTTTGAGCAGCATGAATGTGAGTCCAAAGTAGCGGTCCGGCGGATCAGAGCTGGCTTTTCCTTGAGGTTCCCTCTAAGCCGAGTTGGTGTGAGCTAGCTCGCACTTTTTTAGCCTCCGGCTCACACATTTTTGTCTTAGCTCAGCCGCCCTGAGCCCACTTGTGGGGAGGGCGGGGTATAAAGAGAATAAAATAAACAAATAAATGAAATAAATAAGGATGGCTCCAGGGCAAACTAATTTACGCAGTAGCCAAATCCCTCGCTCACAACTTTAATGCCAGTGGCTCACCAAGTAGAATTTTTGCTCGCATGACTCCACAGCTGAGAGGGAGCAGAAATGGCTTACCGGTTGGGTTGGTTTCCAAGACTCCGGATATTCGTGTTTCAGTTCTAGTGCAGGGAGCTCAGCTGGAGTCGGAAAACAGTGGGTGGAGAAGGCTGGAATTTCCCTGTGCATGACTTTAACAAAAAAGAAAATGGTGAACTGAAAGGTGCAGTGGAGAGAACACAGAAACTTTCCATAACAGCGCTGCTGGGTCAGGCCCAGTGGCCCCATGAAGTCTTGAATCCCTGGGGGGGGGCAGTCTTTCTTTTATGTATAGGAAATATACACCCTTACAGCAAATAATAAATATAGTACCCTGACCTGGATAAGCCCAGGCAAGCCCGACCTCATCAGATCTTGGAAGCTAAGCAGGGTCAACTCTGGGAAGTACTTGGATGGGAGACCTCCTCGGAATACCAGCAGTCGGGAGGCGGGGGCAGGCCTTAGTCAGCCACCTCTCTGAATATCCTCCAGGCCCCCAGTAGGGGTCAGTCACTGGAGGTCACCATGACTCCCAGGTGCGCGCACACACTCACATACACGTGCACATATGAAAAATACAAAAACAAAACAAATATTAAATGCAGCCGTAGTGTGGTGTAGTGGTTAAGTGTGCAGACTCTAATCTGGGAGAACCGGGTTTGCTTCCCCACTCCTCCACTTGCACCTCCTGGATGACCTTGGGCAAGCCCTAGCTCTGATAAGAGCTGTCCTTGAAAAAGAGCAGTTTCTATCAGAGTTCTCTCAGCCCCACCTGCCTCACAGGGTGTCTGTTGTGGGGGTGAAGGGCGGGATATAAATCCAATCTCTTCTTCTTGAAAAAGAGCAGTTTCTGTCAGAGCTCTCTCAGCCCCACCTACCTCACCGGGTGTCTGTTGTGGGGAGGGGGAGGGAAAGGAGTTTGTAAGCCGCTCTGAGACACCTTTGGGTAGTGAAGGGCGGGATATAAATCCAATCTCTTCTTCTTGAAAAAGAGCAGTTTCTGTCAGAGCTCTCTCAGCCCCACCTACCTCACCGGGTGTCTGTTGTGGGGAGGGGGAGGGAAAGGAGTTTGTAAGCCGCTCTGAGACTCCTTTGGGTAGTGAAGGGTGTGGTATAAATCCAGCATCATCTTCTTCTTCTTCTTGAAAAAGAGCCATTTCTGTCAGAGCTCTCTCAGCCCCACCTACCTCACAGGGTGTCTGTTGTGGGGAGAGGAAGGGAAAGGAGTTTGTAAGCCGCTCTGGCTTGGGCAGTGAAAAGCTTTATTGAGTTAAACAAGTTCCAGGCATGAAGGGTACTGTGTCAGTTCTAAAGCGTTTTGGTGGGTATAGGGAATATAGAAAGTTGGTGGGTACAGGGAATATAGAAAGTTGGTGGGTACAGGGAATATAGAAAGTTCAAACAGGGAATATAGAAAGTTGGTGAGTACAGGGAATGTCCACACATACATCCGTTCATATGGCCAGGCTCCCGCATCTCTACCCCCTTCTCATGGGAATATACGATTCCTTTATCTACTACACGGGCTGGCACTGAAAGCTTCAAGGACATCTCCATGTGGAACCGTGGAGAGGCGCATCTTCAGGAAAACGTTCCGCCGTCTAAGATAGAGCAATCACATACCCCACACTCACTTTCCCCACCTAAGGAAGTCCCTTCCCCCCAGCGTCAATTGCAAACTATGTGAAGCGAAGCGAAGCAAGGTTTGACAGCCGTCCAAGGCCAAGGCAAGAGACATTCCGAGGTGGCTTGCCATTGCCTGCCTCTGCGTAGCAACCCTGGACTTCCTTGGCGGTCTCCCACCCAAGTATTAACCATGGCTGACCCTGCTTAGCTTCTGAAATCTGACGAGATTGGGCTAGCCTGGGCCGTCCGGGCCAGGGCACAGAAGTGATTTGCCGTGGCCTGCCTCTGCATAGCAACCCTGGTGTTCTTTGGTGGTCTCCCATCCAAATATTAACCAGGGCTGACCCTGCTTAGCTTTCTAGATCTGATGAGATTGGACTAACCTGGACTACCCAGGTCAGGGCAGATGCTGCTAGGAAACCCATAAGCGTAGGCTTCCCCTAGCAGCTAAACTGCTTTTGAACTTGGAGGTTTTGCTGCTTCTCCCATCGTGTAGGTCACTTTCCAAACAAACCCTTGCCGTCTGCTGGGACTTTGGCGTGGATTCAGGGCATCGTCTGTAACGTGAACAACCCCTGCTTCCGGTACCCGACCACCGGAGAGACGCCAGGCTTGGTGGGGAACTTCGATCATTCCATGTGAGTAGAGGGCCGCGGATTTGGGGTGTGTTTCCCCCCCCCCTCTCCGTGTAGAACAAAGAGGTGTGTCTTTTTCTCAAAAATAAATAAAACGAGGGGCGTACATTTTTAAACAGAATGGAAAATAAGCAAGAGGGTGTCCTGTGAAGACCAATACCACCACCTCCACCTCTGATCATCCACCTTGTTGTGCATTGAGACTAAGCCATTCCTCAAGCTGTACCAGGAACGGGTTGAGCTTGTTACTTTAGAACAATAGCTCGCCAGGATCCTGGAGCTAACAAATAGATAAGCAGTGTAATGTAAGTAGCCTATCGCTGGGAGTGTGTGTGTGTTGGGTGTGGTGTTTGCAAGCCTTATAAGCAGGGCTCCAGCCCTGCTAGTTGTCCTTGTAGTTTGCTGAAATCACTGAATAAACTAGAGCTGATCACTGCGATGCGTCCAGAACCCAGTATTTAACACACCTATTTTTAAAAAAATGTTTCTTCACACACAAAATTGGTTTTCTGTGCAAACCTGGGTGTTCCCCAGGTTTGTCAGGACTATCAGTTGTAGCTCGATTTTTAAACTCTCCCTTAGGGGCCGGCCTTTGCCTATTGGAAGTAAGGGTGGGGAAATCTAAAATGAGTGAGAAAGTGCATTGATTTGGTTTTTGTAAGCTGCCTTGAGCTCCGTCAGGGAGAAAGGTGGCCAGTCCATATTTTAAATAAATGTATTTTCCTACTGTGCTGTATTGGCAAGGCAAACCGATGTGACAGAGGCCCTTTTTGTTGGGGCCGTTGGCTAGAACAGGAGCGATGTGCCGTGTGCTACCCAGAGGAGCCCCGTAGCCCTCCCCAGAGGTATTTTCAGTAATCAAAAGCATCCATCAGTGCGCACCCCATTTAGCCAGGAAATAGTGAATTAGTGATTTTCAAAGAGAAGAGATTCCTTACCAGTTCAAAGTGGCTGATGGGTGAGTCGGAAAAACATGAGGTTTACCCTGTCCTGTCTTCCCCTGACAGCATCTTTCGCCTGTTTGCTGATGCCCAGAAGGTCCTCCTCCACGTGAATAACGGCCAAGCTGAGAAGAGTTTCTCCCAGCTTCTGTCTGCTTTGCGTCAGCTCAGCGGCAATGGAAATCTACGGACAGGTAAGGATGTGCACAGCTGCTGGGTTACAAATGCAGGGGAATAGAAAAGTGCAGTGTTTGTGCACGCATAATGCTGTATTGCCCTGGGTTCTCGGCCAGGCGAGGCGAGCTGTTTGTGGGAGCTCAGACCAGGGAAGGGTAAAACCTTTTCATGCTCAGGGTCAGAGCCCCTGGAGAAATCAGTTCCCAGTAACAGTCATTCAAGAGAATGAATTTTATTGAGGCATTGATAGGATCCAGATTCTTAATGATTCTTTGTTAGAACTGAGGCCAAGCGCGCGAAGCAAGCCATTATACTAAAGTCAGACAGGTCATTAATGGCTCTTGGCCAATCGCACCTACGCTAGAAAGCCTGCTGGAATAACGGTATGCAGTTCTCAGGGGAAAGAGGATACCAGACACAGGTAGGTCTCAAGGTTACATGGTTCAATCAAGACAGATAACAGTATAGCGACCAGAAACGGAATTAGACATTCTTGTTCTCACCCCCCACATCTCCATGGCAACCAAGGCATGTTGACACTCAGACCTAGAAAGGGTAAAGCCTTAGGTAGCTCTCTGATGTAGGCTAGGGCCTAGGCTTGGGGATACATGGGTTCGAATCCCAGCTGAGCCACAAAGCTCACTGAGCGGCCTTGGGCAGTCACCGTCTTGCACTCTCGACTACCTCACAGGGTTATCGTGAAGTTAAAATAAGAGAACCTTCCCAAGGATGCTGCGTTTTTGTCCCTGCACTCAATTTTGGCTTCTATGTATTGTATTTAGACCTCCTGCTGGTTTTATTCCGATTCCCTTATGTCTATTTTTAGGCTGCTGATTCTTTTGAAACACAAATGTTATTTTAAAACACAAATGTTATTTTAAAACACAAATGTTATTTTAAAACACAAATGTTATTTTAAAACACAAATGTTATTTTAAAACACAAATGTTTGTTGCTGATTATTTATTTATTGTTTTTGTGACCCAGGTGTTCCTAACTGCTTTTAGATTAAAGACATTTCAGGGGTATTTTGTTGCAGTTGTTAGTCAATGTGGTTATAGTTGTTAAAGTACTGGACTTGGATTTGGGAGACCCGAATTCAAGTCCTTCTTCAGCCAGTCACAGGGTGACCAGTCACTCTCTCTAAATTGTAAGGGTAAAATGGAGGGGGGGAGAGAGAGAGAGCCCTGTATGCTATGAGGAATATGTGGCATGCAAAGGAGGGATAAAAATCTAAGGTGGGATAAAAACTGGAGAGCCAGTTTGGTGTAGTGGTTAAGTGCGCGGACTCTAATCTGGGAGAACCGGGTTTGATTCCCCACTCCTCCACTTGCACCTGCTGGATGACCTTGGGCAAGCTGTAGTTCTGACAAGAGCTGTCCTTGAAAAAGAGCTGTTTCTGCCAGAGCTCTCTCAGCCCCACCTACCTCACAGGGTGTCTGTTGTGGGGAGGGGAAGGGAAGGAGTTTGTAAGCCGCTCTGAGACTCCTTCAGGTAGTGAAGGTGGGGGTATAAATCCAATCTCTTCTCTTCTTCTTCTTCTAATAGGTAAATGGTCAACAAAAATATCAGTCTTAAAGATGCAGGGTCCAGATGTCTTAAATTAATAAGAGAATCCTTCGGATGAACTGACAGCCAGCCAGTTTGGTGTAGTGGCTAGGAGGGTGGACTCTAATCTGGGAGAACTGGGTTTGATTCCCCACTTGTCCACGTACAGCTGCTGGTGTGACCTTGGGTTAGTCGTAAGTTCTTCCAGAGCTGTTCTCTCAAGGGCAGCTCTCAAAAGAGCTCTCTCAGCCCCACATACTTCACAGGGTGTCTGTTGCGGGGAGGGGAAGGGAAAGGGATTGTAAGCCACTCTGAGACACCTTTTTCGTCTTCTTTTTCGCTATTTATACTCAGAGCTGCCTGTCCCAGCTATGATTGCTACAGCCAGTCTAGTTGGAAGTTGCTTGTCTTGAGTTCCAATCGTGGACTTCTTGTGTCCCAACTCCTCTTGTACTGGCCAGACTGATGGTGAGCCAGAGGGCCATGGCTTCAAGTCCTGCATCTCACCGGCCATTCTGACTCATGAATTTCTTTCTCTTTGCCAGCGGTCCCAGTCAGGGCCTACTTGAGAGACAATGAGACTTTCTCTCAGTTCCTTGAGACGAATGCCTCCCTCCCACCCACCTTGGTGGAGGACCTGCTTGGGGCAGAGCTCAGCCCGCGTGTGGTAAGTAAAAGGCAGCCTACTTTTTTTGGAGGGATGATGAGGACTAGGACCTTGACGCTTTTCCTGCTTGGTGCAGCAGTCATGAGAGGCAGAAGCTAAAGATATTTTAGGCTACGATCCGTGGCACATCCCGTTAAATGAATCTCCTTTCCTAAGGAGTTGCAGCCAGAATAAAAACTACTGGATTAAGAGGATGCTTCCTATAAGGCAGATGTTTTTATTATTATTACGGTCTTAAGACCAAAATACAGAGTAAGCATAACACGTGAGGGAGAGAAAAAACACCCCAGTCATAATATACAAAAATAGAAATCCGAATTTAAGAACTTTAAAAATGTGATTCCCGCAGTCTAAGATATAATGCACAAAACTCAGCGACTGAATGTGTGATCTCTGCATTCTTATCTGATAGGAGCCAGTGAAGCCTTGCTTTGTTTGTGTGAATGTGCCCAGGTGTCCTGTCGACTAATGGGGTAATAATTTTAAGACAAGCCTCCCTGTAAAATGGACAGCTGAAGAACATACGCTCTACCGATTCAGCCTCGCTTAAAAGGCATGGGCATAGCCTTTCAGAGTAGGGGTTTTTATTGTACCTGCTTCGAAGAACTGCAGATGGAAGGGCAGAACATCTAGCTAGTGCAAATGCCCTTCTAGAATTCTTTCCCTCCCCGGAAGTCAAAAATATATTGCCGTCTCAATGGTGTTTTTGATATTTAACAACACCCCGAGTTTGGAAGCCTTAGAGATGTCAGATTAGGTCGCGCCATATCCTCAGCTCTTTGTTTAATTAGCCCTTTGACTCGTTCAAATCCGTAGGATAAGAGTAGCTGAGGTGCGAAGCCAATTCTGTGAATACGATCCAACTGGATGGGAAATCACCCTGGAATATCAGGGGAAGCAAGCCTTGTGGATTGTATAAGGCAGATGTCTGCATGGTTTGAGGAAGGTCCCCCCCCGGCTCAGTAGCAGAACTAGGGATGCCAGCTCTGAGTGAGGGAATTCCTGGGGATTTTGAGGGTGGGGCCTGAGGAGGGCTGGATTTCCGGAGGATAGGAACCTCCGCATAGGCTTGCCAAGTCCCCCCGGGGGGCGGGTAAACCCCCGCCCGAGAGGCCCGTTACCCGACGCCAGCAAATCGGCCCCTAGGGGGAACTCCACCCCCTTCTGGCACACGTCCCCAGCGTGATGATGTCACCCAGAGGTGACATCATCACGCTGGCCACGTTGGGGGCGGGACGGTCTATGATTTGAGGGAAAACTCTATGGTTTCCCCTCGAATCCTAGTGGCCCCGCCCCCAACGTGCCGACACGATGACGTCACTTCCGGGTCTCAAAGGACAGTGCGGGACTCCCCCGCGGTAAGTAAATTTGGACTTGGCAACCCTACCTCCGCAGTGTATAAGGCTACAGAGTCCATCCTCCCAAGCAGCCATTTTCTCTATAGGGGACCCATTTCTGTAAGCTGGCTAGCAGTTCGGATTCCTGGAGATCTCCTGGCCCTACCTTGAGGTTGTAGCAACCCGAGCTGCAGTGTTAGGAAAGTCAAATAACAAACAAGTATACACTGCAAGAAAGTTTTGTAAATGAACGTGTTCTGTTTGTAATCATCTATATATCTAATAGCCAAGGCGCCCCACCCCCGCGTGCGGATGTCTAAATCCACACATCAGGGGG